CCCATATTAGCCCTGCACTCCCTGCCCTATCGCCCCAGCCCCTGCCCCTGCCCTGCAGCCCAGCCCCCGCACCCCCTGCCCAGTCTCCAGCAAACTCCTGCCGCACCCTCCTGCCTGAAGCCAGCCAGTCCCGCACTCCTCTGTCTCCAGCCCTGTCAACCCCTGCCACACACCCCTGCGACCCTGCCTGAAGCCAGCCAGCCCGCCCCACACACCCCTGTCTCCAGCCAGCCGCGCACCCCTTGCCCTGCCTCCAGCCAGCCCCATGTCCACTGGTGCCCTGCAGTTCCCAGGGCAGTAACCCTGCACGCCTGCTTCAATGAGGAGGGTAGGGAGCAGCTGGGACCCACACATGTGCACACCACTAGGGTGACCAGACAACAAGTGTGAAAAATCGGGACAGGGGTGGGGGGGTAATAGGATCCTATATAAGAAAAAGACCCAAAAATCAGGACTGTCACTATAAAATCGGGACATCTGGTCACCCTAGCACACCCCCAGGGAGTGGCGGGGACCCACACATGTGAAACGGAGCTCATTAATAACCGATCAACAGCTTATATGACGCAATGTACATAATATATAATTTTATTATTTATATAGTTATGGAAAGTAAATAATACATGGAAGAAATGAAACGCTTTTTTTTACATTGGGTTTTTTTTTTTTTTGTTAGTCATCCCTGCCAGGGCCTCGTCGAAAATGTTCGAATTGGGCCCCGCACTTCCTAAAGCCGGCCCTGCCCACAGTCTGCTACAGTATGAATAGCTTATAAATTCAAATAAGCCAGTGCTTTAAACATACAGTTATCTAGCATTTGGGCAGATTTTCAGGTGTGACTACACCATGGGCATTATTTGTACCTGAAGGTGGTTTAACTGGCCCAGGGAGGCTCACCCCAGTGTAAAGGTGATCCTCCACTGTCATTTAGTTAGCACGATTAATCTCACTGGGCAGGTTTAAACGAAGGGAATTGGCAGTTAACCATGTGGAGATTTTTCTTTCAGTACTCTACTTATCCATTAATAGTTTTCAGTTTCATTATGCACATCACTTACGTATCCATGTGTGTATTTACTTGTACATACATTATGTGCTCCTCTCTCTGGTTGGAAATGATCATTTTTAAACTGCTCATGCAAAAACTTAAAGGTATTAACAAAAAAGAGAGGCAATATAGCTGTCTAATTTAGGGGATTCTCAATCTTTTTCTTTCTGAGCCTCCCTCCCCACCAATCCATGCTCTAAAAATTCCACGACCCACCTGTGCCACAACAACTGTTTTTCTGCATATCCAGTAGATTAAAAGCCAGGGCTGGCGTTAGGGGGTAGCAAGCAGGGCAGTTGCAAAGCTAAGTTGCTTGGGCTTCAACTTCAGCACTTGGTGGCGGGGCTTGGGCTTCAGCTTTCTGCTCTGGGCCCCAGCGAGTCTAACACCCGCCCTGGTCTCTGGTTTATTTTGGCGGACCCCTGAAATCTGTTTACAGCCCCCCAGGGTGCCCCAGTCCCTGGTTAAGAACTGCTGGTCTAACTGATTGTGAGTAGAGTACGATTACAGAAATAAGAGAGAAAAAAGAGCTATACGGTTACCTAATCTGTTCCCCGCCAAGGCATGGTTTTTTCCCACAATGTATACTTGAATGCCTTGTCTGGTCCAACTGTTGAAGTATAGAATGATCTGGGCTGCTCCTTATGTTCCGACTAATCTGATCCCATCCAATAAAAGTTTGTGATGGGACAGGAATGTTGCACTGTAGGTGTTTTCATATGCTTTTTACGGCATAGATTATAAAACTTGGCTATTGAGAAGAGATGGGCCCAAACTAAATACTTGTATCTGAACACTTCCAAACTTTGGGGGAGTTCAGACCAGAAGCAAGAGCCAACATTCCGGTTGGCCCTTATCTCTAAACACAAAGCCTAGGTCCTCTGAATTTTAAGAAAGTTCAGATTCATGCTTTGTGGTTTGGGCCCATCCCTGTGACTAACGAATTAAGCCTATAATTAGAGCCCTGCATATCTGTGAATAGCTGCTTTATATCCATAGATATCTGCATCTGGATGAAGAGTTCTTGTTTATCATTAAAATGTAGCTACCAGTTTTTGGTTCAAGTCTTTTACCTGCTTTCTTGACTAGTCTAATAGTGAGTACCTGTTGAAGATAGTGAAAATTAATTTAGAAATTTGTCAGATTCAGGGCTGTCCCCAATGAGACCTTCGTAAATCATGACATTTTTGTCTATTCAGTCTTCCAGGAAATGACAACCAAACATATGCTTTCAATTTTTGAGGTTAAAGTTGTTTGGTTTGGTTTTTTTTTGGTTTCTCTAAGTCACATAGAAGAAAACTTTGAGGAATCCTTCATATTGCCAAAGAAGAAAGAAAATAGAGCTATGGAACAAAGTAGTTCACGCATAGAAGAGAAATTTATCTTGGCTCAGTATAGCTGCAGATAAACTTTCTTCTCCTGGTGACTTCAGAGTAGAATACATGAGACAGGCAGTTAATAATTTCTGGCATTGAGCTCTATCTGTAGTTTAAGCACATTCTTTTAAAGTTTTAAAATAAGAGTCAACAAATTAAAACAGTATAGAGTGTTTATAGGGATAAAAGTTAATAGTTATTCATCTGCCTATAAAATCCTTGTGCTCCAAAACTTGCAGCTCTTAAAAATTGTGTGTATGTATGTGTATTTGTATTTGGTTGCTCTAAGAGCCAGGCTGTTATGGTCGCATTTCTGAAAATGTAGTAAAAGTAAGGTCTTCAGGTTTTTATTAAAAGTGTGTATGTGTTTGTGTTTGTACTATGTAGATACAAGCATATGGAGTGATATCCTGGCCCCATTGATGTCAATGGCAAAACTCACATTGATTTCATAGGGCCAGGATTTAACCCACAGTTGTATGATATATATCCAAATACGCACTTTTAAGAAAAGAGGTAGCAAAGAACAGGAATTAATTTATGATGCATTTTCCTTTCCCTCACAAACTTCTCAGTGGTCTACTATACTTTCTGCAATTCTGCTTTTGAAGTTGTATCTTTTGGGTATACTTATATTTGACATAATTTGGATATGCTTTGAAAATTACTTTTGTTTTCTAAGTGAGTAACAGTTTATAATAAACCATCCTCAGAAATATGTGCCTTCCTGTAGTTACAGTAATAATAAACAAAGCAGGTCACATAAACACAAATGCTGTTAACTCTAGAAATAAAACCATCTGAAAATAATTTGAATATCATCAACAGAAGAAGGCTTGCCAGCTCTTGAGTAACCCAGCATTTTTTTGCTGCTGCTTTTTGCTTGAGGGGGAAAGAAAAAAACATATCAGGATATAGTGTCATTTGAAATGTGTCAGGTAATATGCTGCATCCCCGTGTACAATAGCTAAAGACATATGTCATACTGTATTAAATTATGAAATGAGGTATTATTTGCCGTATTATATCACATAATAAAATGACAATGTATGTCATTTGGCATGTCACACTATAACATGATGTAACTGCGTCTGTTCCATCACATTAAAAACAAACATGGCAATCAAAAACCATAGATTTTTAAAAAGACCCCGAAACACCGACCCTAGTTTGAGATTATATTTGTCATTCTACCTGCATAAGGGAAGGCAAATGAAAACAGTTTAGGTCATCCAAACTCTATGCTAATAGATAGTAAGCATGATTTCCTCTTAACATATTTAGCATTACCTTTTCTTTTTAGATTCCGGTCAGCTGGAACAGCAACTGGAGGAGGCCAGTTCTGCACGACGAGAATTAGATGATGCTTCTAGACAAATCAAGGCTTTTGAGAAACAAATTAGAGCACTGAAGCAAGAGAGAGAGGATCTTAATAAGGTACAAGTGCTTTGTCAGATACCTTTCTAGACAATAAAGCCAGTTTTACTTTTATTATATTTCTCTTAAAATGAGAGTTGTCTTAACATCTCATTTGCAGAGTAAAATTAATTAGAAGGTGATACAAATGTATCACTCATCTTCTGCATTCTGACTTCTTTTTTTTGACACAAAGAGATTTCTTAAAGCATTATGTATACTGTCATATGGGTGGTCCTAGCAGATTGATTCCAGACCTTAAACAGATCCATGAAGTGATCTCTACGCTGGCTGCACAGAAAGCCTTTCTTGGCCTCATATTAAGGTGATAATTAAAATGGCTAGTAGGCAAAGCATAGATGAACGACTACAGAGTAAGGATTTAATCTGAAGTCTGATAAGCATTGTGGGAAATGTTGCTCCAGATATTCAAGAAACATTAGCTTTGTGATATCCAGGGGAGCGAGAAGGAAAATCTGCACATTTGAGGATTTAAGAAATAATTTGGAAGGAAAAACATCAATATTTTTCACCATTGCCATTTCTTCTCCTCGTCCCCTTATTTTTCTATATTAGCTCAGGCGGTTGCAATCCTCTCTCTTGTATGCAGATCTTGCTACCATAAATACATGCTTTTCACAATGAACTCTACATGAGGCTATACTTTTAAAATCAACTTGGAAAAAGGATGTCATGCAGAATATGAAAACATGAAAATTAGTGCCCTGGATTCTGCTTTGGGTGCTAATTTACCAAGCGAAGTTAAAGATGTTGGTTTTGACCTACAAAGCCCTCAGTGTGTCTTCATATCTTCCAGCGAGACCATCTCTCCATCCTCATGACAATACTGGGCATTAAGTTTCCTTTAACATGCTAGAAAATTTGGAAAATGCTCTTGACTTTGTGTAGCCAGCAAAATTGCAAATTATTTTTTCCCTATAATTCCTGTTGCATACATACTCAGGCTCTCTTTTCCTCACTTCTTCTCCACTGGTTCATTTTGATTGTTTCATGACATCTAGCCAACTGTTGTGGAGACTCAATCTTACCACAGTAGCTGAGGTATATTATCCTAAGAGTTTACTCTGAACTCTGTCAAGCTGAGTTGTTATCCTGGAGAGTTATCCACAGAAGATAGACTTCCCTATATGCCCATGTTCCTTTACAGGGATAATTCTCTTGTGTTGGTGCTACTTGCTGCAGCATTCAATACGGTGGTGTAGTATATGTAGACTTGGCAGCATTTGATTTTTATTATTTTATAATTTCAACCAATAATATCAATGTTTATTTTGAGCATATTTTTTAGATTTTTATAGATTTAAATTTTCACATATATGCAAGGAGGGTAGTCATGCAATAATTATTTAGCAACAGTAGATGGTGAGATTCAAAAAAGTTAACGCTTTGTAACCATTAAAACATAACTTGCAACATCACATGTCAAACTATACAAAGTAAATATTCTTAAATCAAACTCTAATAAGTTCTCAAGCAGCATTTTTCTTACTTGGCCTATCTGTAAATTTTTATTATTATAAATGGAAATATTTTTGTAGATTTGTGTGTGTACAGCGAAATCATCATTTATTGATGTGTAGTGATAATAATTGAATCCTTCCAACCCTAAGTTTATGGGAGTTATAATGGCTGTGTGGAGGAGGTTGACTTCCAAAGGGTTTGTTTTCATTCACTTAACATTGCATTTTTTATTTGACAGCTAAAATAAATTAATGATGCAACTTTTTTCTTATTTCGGTTAAGTGGTACTGGAAACATAAGGCAGAGATCATGTATTTGATTAGAGCTTAAAAGTATTGAAAGCCTTTGCTTTAGATCTACATAATGGCCAAATTTAGAGTTGATATAGATTGAAGCAATTCCACTGACTTCAGGTGATCATAATCTGTCCCACTACCTTTACAAAGAATTCTCACTGCAAGCACCTGGTCTGTGTCATATATTGTTACCAGTTTTCTATCTTTGGATGCATATATGTGGCTCCCATTCACTTAAGTGAAACCCTCATGCACACATCTAAAGGCAGAATTTGGCCCTAATGCTTTATAGGTTTATAACTTTTTTTTTGAACTGTAGGAACTGATGGAGTCTAGTGAGAGATTAAAATCCCAAACCAAAGAGTTAAAAGATGCACACAGCCAGCGGAAACTGGCCATGCAGGAGTTCTCAGAGATGAATGGGCGGCTGACAGACTTGCACTCTCAAAAACAGAAACTTACCCGCCAGGTCCGAGATAAAGAGGAAGAGATGGACGTGGTGATGCAAAAGGTGGAAATCTTAAGGCAAGAGTTACGGAGAACAGAAAGGCTCAAAAAAGAAGTAAGTAGTGAAAAGGAGTTTGTAGAGTCTTTAAGGTGGTAATTATATGTGGAGGATTTTCATACAAATAATTCATGCTTACTTCACTGCCTTTTAAAAATATATTCAAGTCGTAGTCTGTACATCTTTAACTCTTTATTCATTTGATTGTTACTTCACATACAAAATCCAATTTCTCTTTAGGGATTTGAATTTTTCACTCTAGTCTTTAAAATTCAACTCTTACACCAAAAAATATAACTTTGTTTTGAAAAATAAGAATTTGTTACCCTTTTTTGTAGCTGGAAGTCCATGCTGAAGCTGCAGCTGCTGAGGCATCCAAGGACAGGAAATTGCGTGAGCGAAGTGAGCAGTACTCTAAACAGCTGGAGAGTGAACTGGAAGGACTAAAGGTTAGTCTTTTTTGGTTCAACGCCTTTAAAGTTAATAGCCAGCTTGGAGTTGAGCTGTAAAATTGCTTTCAGTACCACGAGGGTATTGTGAATTTGTGACCTCACTCTGTATTGAACTTAAAGGCAAATTTGTATGAAATTGTCTTTACGAAAGGCTATGTGAAAAACGAAAACTTCCCACAATCGCAAACTATTAACCAGTTCGTTCTTTTCATGCTAAATGTTAGCTATGTTTAGAGGAGCATCTCTATCACAGTGACACCTGGGTTTTCTGTGTTTATTCCTGGTCAATGACTTTCATAACTATTTGCTCACTTTACAAGTCAAAAGAAGTGTTTTGTAATGTTTGATTTTTCAGCATGAGTGAATAGTTGCATATAAACTTAATCAGCACATTCAGATCTCTATGGAGATGTATTAAACATTCATTTATAATTGCATATTTCAATTATATTTAAGTCCAAATAGAACCAAAGGTCTAATAACTGATGCTAACTGATGTCCCTGTAAAAGAAAATTTCCGAATGTATCGTTACATAGCTCAGCCAAGCATGGGGATGTACATTGGTGGCAGGTTTGTAGGAATTTTGGTGGTGCCCAGAACCCGTTCCCCCCAAACACCTCCCCCTCACCTGCCTAAGGCTCTGGGAGGGAGTTTGGGTGGGGGGGAGGAAGTCTGGGCTGCAGGCCCTGAGCTGGGGATTAGGGTGCAGGAGGGGTGCAGGTTCTGGGATGGAGTTTGGGTGGGGCAGGGGGTCTGGGGTGCAGGCTCTGGGATGGAGTTTGGGTGCTGGGTGCAGGCTCGGGGCTGGGGCAGGGGGTGGGGGTGCAGGCTCTGGGATGGAGTTTGGGTGTAGGTTCTGGGATGGGGCAAGGGGTGGGGGTGCAGGAGGAGGTGAGAGGTGCAGACTCTGGGAGGGGATGCAGAGGGAGGGGGTCCAGGCTCTGGGAGGGAGTGCAGGGGTGAGGGATGTGGGGCTGAGGTTGAGGGGTTTGGGGTGTGGGAGGGGGCTCAGAGCTAGGGCAGAGGGTTGGATGAGGGCTGTGGGGCTGAGGATGAGGGGTTCATGATGCAGGAGGGGGCTCAGGGCTGGGGCAGAGGATTAGGGTGTGGGGGGATGAGAGCTCTGTCTGGGGCTCGGAATGAGGGGTTCATGATGCAGGAGGGGGCTCAGTGCTGGGGTAGAGGATTAGGGTGCGGGGGGAGTGAGGGCGTCTGGA